TGAAAGTTTGTTCGTGAAACTTTGCGTATTCGAAATGATATGCACTTTGTCCCATTTGAACTGTCAAAATCGACACACTGCATATGGTCAACTATGAAAATTTTGGGAGGAAATTTTGGAAGCCAGATTCGTATGTGAGGTCCTAAAATTAGTGAGGAAACTTCTGAGCTTAGGTGAGGAAAGCAAACATATATTACTTCAACACTGTTCGCGATTTGATAGAATTTCGTTGACTTTTCAGAGAGGACGTGACGGAGTTTCTATCGAGTTCGTTGGTGCATGCTCATTGGGTGCATAGGAAGGCTTCTTCATCATCTCGAGGTAAGCACAGTGTGTGTATGTTCAATTGGAGATGAGTTGAAGGATAGATGGTATGACTGAGTCGATGGCGGTTAAGAAAGAACAAGCTATTGATGAGGAGGAGGAGATCCGACCGGTTGAGTTTCCGCCACTTGGTGAGGTTGGGAATTGACGGAAATGTGGTATTGAAATATTTTGCACAGGTGCTGAGTTGGAACTCGATGAGGATCAGTATTATTCTGCGTCGGAGGGTGAAAGCTCGGATGAAGAAACTGAAAGATTTCGACGAGCTCGAATCAAGAGTGGCAACATCGAAAAAAGTGAGCTGGGCGGTTTTAGATTTGATTTTGTCGTATCTGGATTTGTTGTTGGGAATTTCGACTGAAAAATTACTTTCAAGTAGGCGCTATACGAACCTTGCAGAGATACGTTTTATACAGAACGGCTTGCAGTGTTGGAGGAATATATGTTTGCTTTCCTCACCTGAGCTCAAGGGCTTTCACCTTGCTAATTATAGGAGTTTATATGCGAATTCGTGTACAGCAAGTATCAGGAATTTCCCAAAATTTCATCAAAATCATCATATTGCCACCAACACATGTGGTTGACTCAAATATAGGAATATATAAACATGCACGTGCCGAACATGGGGGAACCCAAAACCGATGGGTGCGGAATACAGAATGACGTCACCTGCATCAGCGCTGGGTGGGTAAATGGCTATCATATATTGTATGGAGGTTTTATTGAGTAACAAGACACCCACAATCACCTGGAATCGCACTGCCGAAGTACGATAGTAAGCGAATATAGTAAATCGTAACTACTAATACAGTAATACGTCATACAACTAGCGCTAAGGAAACAAGACGCAAGACAACAATAACACAATCAAACATATTCAGATATCATCATCTTACAATTCTTCACTTCATGCGGAAACCGGCACAATTGCGAGGATAATACAGACTAACGAACACGAAAGGAAGAATCTCGCTCGCCCTTGGCGACGTAGGACCGTAAGGCTATTAGTCTTACAGTGTGCTTTCACTGAGTTTAAATTTAACGACGCTAGCGACTTGAGTTTCAAATGTGGAGCTCTGCGATATGATCATATTGCATAGAACCAATCGATTTTCGAAAAGGGTCTTGGGATTGAACCTGCGCCACTCGTAATTGAAATTAGATTTATAAAGTTTCAGATTCTGTCGAAGTTCCTCCTCGTCGTCGATCTTCATCATCACCCACGGCGAGCCCAGTTGATGCAGTGGACGTATTAGAATCAAAAGAAGGGCCGCAGGAAAGTGATGATGAGAAAGCTGAGAACTCCTGGTGAGAATATTCTGGACTGCCATAATCGATTACTAGGGCGTGCGCTAAAGTGATTGAGATGTGCGAATCGACGGGAATTGAATTGTTAGAATTTATGCGTGATATAAGTAAACAGGGTGGAATTGTGATGCATTGATGAGATGGGATGTTCACAAAATGTGGTATCAAATTCTTTGCGTCAGACCGCGCGTGGTCAAGAATGTCATCATGGTGTAACAATGTCCATTGTGAAGTATATAAGTTGGCAGTGTTGGAGGAATATATGTTTGATTTTCTCATCTGAGCTCAAGGGCTTCCTCCTTACTAATTATATATGAATTCGGGAAGAGGTGTAGAACGAGTATCAGAAATTTCCCAAAATTTCATCAAAATCATCGTATTGCCACCAACACATGTGGTTAACCAA